GATTTCAGTAAATATGCTGCAAACACAACAAATTACAATTTTCAGTTTTTTACAACGGGTTTTTATAAAGGGTTTTGAAACTTACTGTGCGTAATAATTTGGAACAGTGCATTGTAAGTTTTTTATGTTTTAAAAAAAAATACTGTTATCATTAGGAGGTCTGTTCAATAAAATTTGGATTGTACTCTTAATAGTTGATAACATGAGAATTATGCTGACTGTTATTTACATCAATTATTTAGGTAAATGAGAAAAACATAATTTGCATAATAATTTGGAACAGGGTGTATTCTCTTGAAAAATTCATGTTCCATAGCATATAGTTATTAAAGTAAATATGAAACATAATATTAAATATGAATAAAATAAACAATTTGTTTATGGGTGCCACTTGAACAATCTGACAGGCTGCTAAAGTTCCAGTTTACCACTATTGCTGATCCCCATTATACATAAACCCAGACTAGCTGCAGGGTTAAACCCTGCAGACATTAGAGGAATTTGTCCACATAGCTATATATATATATACACACAGAGATGATCTTTCATCTTGTTGCCCTCTTATCACAACCCTCGATCACATTTTTTACGCACAGGATTGCGATCCTGGATAGGAGCATAGGTGGTTTCCACGGTGATCACTCTTTCCCCGTCGCACATCATCACGTGTTGACGTCAAGGAGGCAGTCCTAACTCACTTCCACTTTTGGTTGAGGGTCTCACTCTTAATTGGATTGGTAAGTGCACTAATATTGTATGTGTATATATTTTCAATGTTTTGGTTGACACAATAACCTTGAAAAAGACCCGAAGGGGTCGAAACGTCGGTTGGTTTGTTTGTATTATACACATTATTTAAATAAATCAGAATATTTTTTTCACCAAGCCCTGTGAGTGCATCCTGGACTCTTTTTTACTTATATATTGGACGCACAACGGATGGCACCCAGGCAGATATATTGATAATACGAAGAAGGAGAGTGCCAAACTATTTACTTTTATTTATATATATATATATATATATATATATATACACAAACAACAGCAGTACAGCCCTGGTAAACTTAACCCCTTTACGCCATTACGGCACTCTGTCATTCGCAATATGTTGAAGCTGTTGAGGTGGCATAGAATGTCGTAACGGCTTTCAGCCCTGGAGCACCCGGGATACTTACCTTCCCGGCCCCCGCATGTCATGTTATCTCTCTCATAGAGCAATCACATGGTCCCAATAGGCGTCCATAGAGTTACCTGCCTTAGAATGAAATTATATTTAACTCTGTAACTTTCCAAAACACCATAAAACCTGTACATGAGGGGTACTTTTTTACTTGTCAGACTTCGCTGAACACAAATATGAGTGTATTAAAACAGTAAAATGTATTACGATGATATCATCACTGAAAGGGCAGTTTATTTGTGAAAAATGCCCCAAAAATAAATATGCTAACTTTGGCCAGTGTTTGTGACTAAGTGGCTACTAAGAAACACTGGTCAAACTCCATTTTGAATATCCTGTATTGTGTAATTTTCAAAATAGCCATGGTGGGGGTAATTTTCATTCCTGGGCTGCTATAGGCAAAGGCAACAAATCAGTCTGGCAAAATTCAATGTGCATAAACTGGAAAGGGAAAAGTCCTATATTTGACCCAGTAACTTTCCAAAACCCCATAAAATCTGTACATGAGGGATACTGTTGTACTTGTGAGACATTGTTGAATACAAATATGTGTATTTTAATGCAGTAAACGCTAACAGTATTGTGACATTCACAGTTAAAATGACACACAGAACATTTCTTAATTTCTCACGCTTTTTTAGTTTTTATTCATATTAAATTATGTTTCATATATAAATATTTGATGTGAAATGAAAGTCTTGTTTCTCCTGAACAATTATATATAAAAAGTTTGGGTGCACTTAATATGAAAGAGGGGGAATAATGGATACAGAGACATATAGTCAAATTCCAGGGTTTGTTTCGAATGTGTACAATTGTCTCTGTCCTTAAGGCATTAAAGCACTTCCTGAACAGATTTCAATGGATCTCGAGCGGATGTGTTTTAAGATACAGGATTACACAAAATTGCCTTCCTTGCTAATTCAAGCTACACAGGAATTTAATCCAGTTTGAAACTATTTGCACAGCTAGGGTACACATAGTAAAAGGCATATCTACTCTATATTCATTAATTCTGACTGTGGTGCCTGAATCTCCTACCCAGTTTCAGGGCCGCCATCAGAGGGTGACAACCATAACAGTTGTCACGGGCCCGGCCACCTTGGGGGGCCCGGCCGCCCAGCCCTACGTGTAGCGGCGGAACTGCTGCTGGTGCAGTTGCACCGGGGCCTGCACGCTGATGGGGCCTATCGGGTGGTCCATGCACTTAGGGCCACCGATGGGCCCCATATCTTCAGGGGCCCGGTCAGCGCTGTGGCCGTGGTATAGCGCGACCGGGCCCCTTTAAAAAACAAAACAAAAAAATGCCGCCGCAGCGCAAGTGCTGCTGGGAGGAAGAGGTCACTTCCTCCCAGCTCACTCCACGCGGGAGGAGCGCACGCCCGGCAATGAAGAGGGAGAGCCAGCCGACTCCCAGTCCCATCAGCCCCAACCACCCTCCTGCAAAGACAAGGTAAGAAACAGGAGGGTGGCTGGAAAATGAGCTGTGTGCTGTCTGTATGTATGTCTATATCTGTCTGTATGTCTGTGTGTATGGATGTCAGTGTCTGTATGAATGTATGTATGTCTGTATGTATGTCTGTATGTATGCGTGTCTGTATGGCTGTATGCATGTCTATCTGTATGCATGTCATTATGTGTGTATGAATGTGAGTGTATGTATGTCTGCATGTCATTATGAATGTGTGTATGTCTGTCTGTATGAATGTATGTATGCCAGTACAAATGTCTGTCTGTATGTCATTATGAATGTGTCTGTGTCTGTATGTCCTTATGCATGTATGTCTGTATGTATGTTAGTATGTGTCTGTCACTATGTACGCTTGTGTGTCTGTATATGTGTGTATGTCTCAGTATGTGTGTGTCAGTATGAATGCCTATATGCGTATCAGTATGTGAGTCTGTTAGTATGTATCAGTGTGTGTGTGTGTGTGTGTATGTATCTGTGTCCTTTGGTGTCAGTGAATGTGTTTGTGTCTGTGTGTATTCCTGTGGGCGGGATTTGGAGGCGGTCTCTGTGGGCGGTTTTGGAGGCAGGCCCCCAGGGGCCCAGACCCTGAGCTCAGTTAGGGGCCCCAAAATTTCTGGTGGCGGCCCTGCCCAGTTTGTCTCGTTTTGGGAATCCAACCTGGGTGCCCTCTCTGGTGAGTCAGTGGATAAAATTGTTCATCTTCAGACACCAGACTGAATAGGCTCAATATTTCAGGAAGTTAATTATAAATAGCTTATGCGCAGGTACAAAAGCCAAACTATTTTCCATACAATCTCAAAGTGATCTCGGAGTACTCGGATGTCTGATAGCCATATGGGGGAGTTAGGAACAGGATTGCATATTTGGTGGTCTGGCTTAATCTTCGTTTTGGAGATAGTTACATACCAGAATATCTGAAATTCTTGATACCAATATTCTAACAATTAGTAATACTTTTTTTAGTAAACAAAACATTTTTGTTACTTACAGTTCTAAATAATGGTATAACTTGTTATACTCGAACACATGTTCAACAAGATTGGATGTTTTCTTGTCAGCTATAACTTTGTCCATTCTCCAATGTTTACCTTTTGTGTCTTATTCCATTCTCTTTTTATTAAACAAAGTTAAAGGGACTCTACAGGCACCCACACCACTTTATCTCAATGTAGTGGTCTGGGTGCCATGTTTCTGGTTAACCCTACGACTGAAAACATTGCCGTTTTGCAAAGTCACTCAGATCTTTCGTTTAACCATTTTTCCTGCCTCCAACAAATGAAATTCAAGAACTGACTGTTCACTTGCTGCCTAAACCTCTTGACATTGGTGTCATTCAAACAATATAATCAATGTTATTCACTTCACTTGTTAGTGGTTTTAATTTCGTGGTTTATCAATGTATGATTTTGGGCATTGTACCAAGTCACAAATTCAAAGGACTTCACAAATGCCTGACATCTGTAAAAGATAACCTACCATGTACATTTTTTGTTTATTTTGGTTTACCATGGGCCCATTTGTCATTATAACCACTAGATTGTGCTCATGTACAAATATGGCAATATCCACATGTATACTTTTGTCATTTTTTTTTCAATTTGACAATTTTTATTTTCAAGTTCAAACTTGGGGTACAGAAGGAAAGAGGGGTGGGGGGAAGAAACACTTTTGCACATTTCCAACTTTACGATTTCAATGTTTGCCATCCTGTACATAATTTCTAGCGTAGTTGTAAATATATTCAAATTTGCCCACCTTGTCACGACAGGCCAGCTCCTTGTTCTGTTCCCTGTGTTGGCGAGAGCGGCTTTTTTTTTTTTTTTTTTCCTTCTCTACATAGTTGACAATTTTACTTTTGTGGTGCATAAATGTAAACGAGGGGGGGGGGTAGGTGTGCGGGGGTACAGAAAGGAATAAGGGAGGGGTAGGGGATTACGTATCTTACATGACATCAGTTTACATGACATCACAGTACATTCGATTGATATGTATGCGTTTTTCGTGACAAATTTGTTTACCCATGGTGGTACATATCATGTTTGTCCGCATGGTGCTATCAACATAGTCTAGTCCCTGAATGGTGCTGGGGGTGCCGTGTCAGTTGTGGTAGCACGTAGAATACATGATATACAATATAAACGATATAAACGTTAATAGGAACTATATACATAGAACTTGTCCCACCTATGCGAGTTTTTCTGTATGACGGATTCTCTGTTGCGCTGGGTTTGATCTAGGCTTGTCAATTGGGTCTGGTGCCTTTCAAGTCAGTGTCTATTTCTCCGCATTGCTAATTGTATACCTTTTTGGATTTGTTCCCTTTTCTGTACCTTTTATTTGTTTAGTTTGTTACGGTGGGTCGTGCGTTGTGTGTCTGTGTGTTATGTGGGTTGTTTGCTCATATTGGAGCCACATATTGTAAGCTTCTGTGGTTGTGCGGTCCTCTTGCCCTAGTGTCCCCGCAAATTTTTCATATGAGACATTGGTGGATGTTAGGGCTATTATTTCTGTTTTTGTGGGAACCACTGGCGATTTCCATTGTCTTGCTATTAATGTCGTTGCCGCTATCGTGGTAAGATAGACTAGTTTTCGAACGGGTTTCGGGATATTTTGTGGTGAGATGTGTAATAGATATAATTCTATGCTGGGTTGGATCAATACCCCTGTGCTGTTTGTAACTATTTCTTCCACTGCTTCCCATGCTGGGCGTATGAGTGGACAGGTCCACCAGATGTGTAATGTGTCCCCTTTTGCCTTTAGGCATCTCCAGCACTTGGCTTCGGAGTTGTTGTACATTTTATTTAATTTGCTAGGGGTGAGGTGCCACCTATAGAGTAGTTTTCTGGCGATTTCTAGGTGAGAGGCGCATCGTGTCGCTCTTTTGTGTGCTACGAAGGCTCTACCCCATTCCTGGGGTGTTAGTTCCCTCCCAATATCTGTATGCCATTCTTTTTGAAATCCCCAGAGGTGCGTTTGAGGGTTCCCATTAAGTATGTTATAGCATAGTGATATAGTTTTGTCTTGCTTTTTTGTGTCGAGGCATTTAGTTTCAAAGTGAGTTAGTTTTGGTTCACCAGTCACTGGTTGAGTGGGTGTATGTACAGTCCGTAGCATGTGGTGAAGTTGCATATATGAGAATTGGGCCCTATTTGGTATGTTATGATGTGTTTGTAATTCTCTGAAGCTCCTCAGGGAGCCGTTTTGAGTCAGTTGGTGAAGGTGGGTTAGGTCGTGTTCAGCCCAAATTTTATAGTTGAACGAGGGGTCTAGGGTGTGCAGCGTTTTTAAGGGGGTTGGGGGGACCACTTCTGTCTCGAGCAGACCCTGTGTTTGTTTTTGTCCCAAAGAGATAGCATGAGTTTGGTTGTCGGCAGCATCTGGGGGGTGCGGGGTCGTATTTCCCTTGGGGCCCATATGAGGTGTGTTACGTGCCTCCCTTCTAGTCTGCTGGATTCTAGTTCCAGCCATTGTGGGGGTTGTGCTCTGGAGTGGCACCGTAGCACATTTGCCAGTTGCGTGGCTCTGTGATATTCTCTTACGTCCGGGAATCCAAGTCCTCCCTCTCTTATTGTGCGTGACAGGAGTCGCCATGCTACCCTGGGTTTTTTGTTTTGCCATCCAAATCTCAAAAGAGTTGTCTGGAGGTTTTTAAGATATTTGGCGGGGACAGGTATTTGTAGTGTTCGGAATAGATAAAGAATTTTTGGCAGGATCATCATTTTGATAGCCGCACATCTACCCACCCAAGATAGGTATTTGCCTTCCCAGGTCTTCAATGTATTTACAATTTCTGTGTAGAGTTTTTGGTAATTCATTGTGAAAAGTGAGTTATATGTTTTCGTGATTTTGATTCCAAAAAATGTGAGGTGGTCTTCTCTCCAATCATAGTGAAATGCCGTTTTGAGTCTGGTCATTGTGTTGTCCTCTATGCCTATTCCCATTGCTTGGGTTTTAGTGGTGTTTAGCTTGTAGTATGAGTGTGCGCTATAGGATTGAAGTTCTTTTTGGAGATTTGGTAGGGAGATCAATGGTTGGGATAGCGTTAAAAGGACATCGTCTGCGAATAGGTTGAGTTTGTACTCTCTGTCTCCTATATTTATGCCGTGTATGTTTGGGTTACGTCTAAAGGCTTCCGCGAGGGGTTCCAGGGCTAACACATAAAGAAGTGGTGACAGGGGGCATCCCTGCCTAGTCCCATTTGTGATGTTGAATGGATCTGATTGGGAACCTGAGGATGTTACCGCGGCGTTCGGAGAGCTGTATAGGGCTTTGATTGCTGTCAGATAGGTGGGGGGAAAGTCAAATTTTTTCAGAGTAGCCTCTAGGAATTGCCAATTCAGTCTGTCGAATGCTTTTTCTGCGTCTAGGGAGATTATGAGACCTTGGGTCCGGTCCATGTGTATCGACTGTATTATGTCTATTACCTTTCGTGTATTGTCTGAGCCTTGCCTTCCGTGTACAAAGCCCACTTGGTCATTTGAAATAAGGTCAGGGAGGATGTTTTTGAGTCGGTTAGCTAAAATGTTTGCGTACAGTTTGGTGTCTGAGTTTAGTAATGATATGGGGCGGAAATTTTGGCAGTGTGTCGGGGGTTTACCTGGTTTCGGTAGGGTAATTATTCTAGCTGCCAAGTACTCCGCTGGGAAGCTTCCTGTCTGAAGGGCGTGGTTGAAAGCCCTGTTGAGGTGTGGGGCCAGGAGTGGTGCGAATTTCTTATAGTACTCGTTCGTAAAGCCATCTGGCCCTGGTGCTTTCCCTAGGGGCATGGATGTTATGCATTCTACGATTTCGTTTTCTGTAATGGGAGCTTCCAGAAGTTGTTGCTGGGTTTTGGATAGGGTTGGTAGCGGGATGTTTTATAAGTAGGATTGTATGCCAGCCTCCGTGGGTTGCGGCGTGGTCGGATCTTTAGAGAGGTTATATAATTGGCTGTTGTATTGGGCAAATTCTTTACAAATGCCTGAGGGGAGGTGGATTTTTTGGCCCTTTTTATTTAAGATATGTGCTATCCGTGTTTGTTGCTGTCTTTCTCTTAAGTGTTGTGCTACAAGCTTACTGGCCCTGTTACCTTGGACGTATGTGCGAGTGTTTAAGCGCTTCAGCATGAGGCCGAATTTGTGGAGTCTAATCTCATTGAGTTTGTTTTGGAGTGCATTGATTTGCGTTTTATGCTCTGTTGATGGTTGTTTTTGGTTATCTTTGTGAAGCCCTGCCAATTTTTGTTGGCATTGCATAATTTCTTTTTCTGATCGTTTCTTTAGATATGTGGCTCTGCTTATTAATGTGCCCCTAAGTACAGCCTTGTGTGCAAGCCAGATCATGTGGGGATTCAGGTCGTTTGAGGCGTTAGTGGTAAAGTAGTTGTGCAGTTCTTTTTCTAGGGTTTTGCAGAATTGTGAATCTTTGATTAAATAGTCGTTAAGACGCCATGGGTTTCTATGTTTGTAGTCATAGGAGCTCGTCAATGATAGTGTCATTGGTGCATGATCTGACCAGTCAGCAGTCAAAATTTCGCATTCCAAAATGTTGGTCATTGTGGATTCGTGCATGAAGCACCCGTCAATTCTAGAGTATGTATTGTGTACTTTGGAGTGGTGCGTGTAGGCCTTTTCTGAAGGGTGGAGGGCTCTCCACACGTCTCTCAGTCCATATGTGGCTAGCAAGTTCCTAAGGCTTTTGCCTTGTTTTTTCATGGTTTTGTACTGAGGCGACGTGGGTGGCCTAGTTGAGTCTAATGTGGGGTCCAGCACATGGTTTATGTCCCCGCTCATGACTAGAGTGCCTTTCCTCATTTTTTCAATTTTCGAGAGGACTCCGTGCAAAAAATGTCTTTGGTTGATGTTTGGTGCATATATATTCGCCAGTGTGTATTCTATTTCGTTGATGGTGCAGTGCCATATGATGTATCTCCCCACCTGGTCTATTAATTGGTTGTGTGATATGATCGTGAGGTCTTTGCTGAGGAGAATTGACACGCCTCGAGATTTTCTCGGGGTGGTGGAATGTGCTTGGTGGGGGTACATGTTAGGACTTACGTGGGGGTGAGCATCGGTTCTAAAATGTGTTTCCTGGAGAAATACTATGTCGGCTTGCGTTTTTTTAAGTTCCCTGCTCAGAGTATGACGCTTTTGTGGGATATTTAATCCCTGTACATTGTGGGAGTATAGTTTTAGACTGAATGTGTGTGGGAGTTGGATGTGCTGTCTCGGTCTTTACTGTCTCGCGTGGTGGCTAACGGTGGGTCGCCGCTGTTGCTCTGAGAAGAGTGGCTGGGGGTGTTTTTCGTTATGCGTAGGTGTGGCGGATGAACCGTATTCAGTTCTATGAGGCGGATATAGTGTACTAGTGGAATGTTAACCCTGCCTTTGTGTGGAATGCATACAGATATAGATGATGTGATTTGCCTTTGAGCATAGGTGAATCGAAAACCTTTAACATATTTACAATAACATAAACATAACATTTTTAGCGATCTGGCCCTTGTGCCCTGGTCGTCCATCAGGGCGCAATTTATCCCGTTAGTTCCTCCTACTAGCTCTCCCTATCTGGGGGGTTGGGAAGTCCGGTTCTGGCCTCCTGGCCGAGCCAGTGGTCGCTGCCCCAGGCCAGCGGCTCTAATCTAGGCTACCTTGGGGATATGTTTTGAGGGTTGTCTAACTCATGGGGAGTGTTGGTAGGAGCAGAGGGATCATACCATCAATCCTATGTTCTTGATTTGGAGATGGGCATGTGGGCTTTTAACGTGGAGGTTTGAAATTTTCTTTTATCTAGGGGGGGCTGCGGGCGTTGGAGTGGGATGTTGGTTTGGCAGAGAGGCAACAGCTTGGTCCCCCTTTCCCATCCTTTAGTCCGTGTTACTGGTATCTCTATACTTTACTTTGCCTCATGTCCCCTAGGGGACGGGAGTAGCAGTGGCCCTTACATTGATTCCCGACTGTTGGCTTGCGATGTGGGAAGGATGGTGCGCGTAGTTTAGGTAGCATTGTTCGGGTCCAATTAGTCGATACTGTCTATGGAGCTACTGCCCTCGCTTGGTTTTATGGCCCTATTGTCTTCCGACCCTGTACAGGTGCTGCTCTTGGGGCTCCGCACCACCTCCCTCTGTGTCTCACCACTGTGAGCCCTAGTTCCCGCTTCCTATTTTGGCTATGTTAGGTGGGTGGGGTAGTTAGTGGGTATGTTTTCTGGGGGGGGCTGCAGGGACGGAGACCATCCCGCGTGGGTCGTGTCCTGCTGTCTAGACGGGGTCCCTGCCCCATGATGGGTTAACTTCCCCTCCTGCTGCCCCTTCACTCACAGTTCCTCTCCCCCCTCCCATGTCCCCCTCCCCCTGTTCCCTGCAAATATAGAATATTGATCTGTAGTGTTAGCACAAAAACAGGTGTAGCGAGTATATTACCCTCTCCCGTCGTGTTTCCCTTGGTCGACGGTGATCAGTGTCCCAAAGTCCTGAGAAAGATTAGCAGTGTCCATGATGTATTTTGCGTTGGTTCGGTCCGCATGGATGTCACCCGTCATCCCCTGGCTTCCGTCACTGTGCTGCGGTATGTTTCGGCGTTTTGGAGTGTTTCACCGTCTGCCATTCCTGGTGCAATGTCGGCCGTTTGATTGGTTTGTCCCTGTTTGTAGCTAGAGTGATGCCCCAAGAGCGCAGCAGTTGGGTTCCTTCTTCTGCGGTTGAGGCAATTTGGGTCTTGCCGTCTCGTAGGATCAGTAGCTTGATTGGGAATCCCCAGCGGTACGGAATTTTCCTGTTCCTGAGTTCAGCTGTGACGTCCTTGAAAGTTTTCCTGCGTCTGAGTGTTTCGGCCGATAGGTCTGCGTATATCTGGACCTCTTTATATCGGTCCGGGAGATCCTGTTGAGGTTTCTTGGAGCGCAGGAGGGATTCTTTTACGTGATAGTAGTGTAGTCTGAGCATCACGTCCCTCGGTATTGAGGCTGGCAGATGTTGTGGTTTTGCCACCCTGTGCGCCCTATCCATGAGTAGCATGTCGATTGGGAGGTCAGGAGCCAAAATATGGAACAGGTCTGTGAGGTACGTCATGAGGTCTGGAGCCTGTACGTCTTCAGGTATACCTCGCACCCGGAGATTTTGGCGCCTGGATCTGTCCTCAAGGTCCATGTTTTTTACTTCTTGCTTCTCAAGCTTTGCTTCCAGCTCCTCAATTTTTTCCGCCATGCTGTTGTGTGCTTCGGCATATTCCGCCATCTTGCTTTCCATGTGGGCTGTACGGTTTCCTATGTCGGCAATATCTTTCTTTAGGTCCGCTATTGCTGCATGGACTGTTGTTTGTATTTTTGCAGCCATGTCATCTAACATTGTCTGGAACAGCTCACCGTGTATTTGCATGGTGCTGGGTGCAGGCTGTTGTGGGGAATGTGGCTGGGGAATTTCCTGTTCATCCCCACTGCCGTCGCCATCTTGTCCCGTCTGAGCCTGTGACTTGTGGCTTGCCGTTTTCGCGGCGAAAAACGAGTGCTTTTCCTTGGCGTCGGTCACCCTCCTTGCTCCCCTCTGTGACATTGTGGCAGTACCTCACTCTGGGGAATATTTGTGCCGGTAGGATGCTGATTGTGCCGCTGTGTTT